ACCCGGAATCCCCAAGTTTACCCGAAGAACCAGCTGAAATTCCCCCATCATACCACGCACTGTAAAAATTCCCTTAGAGAGTGATTGATGGAATGTGAATGGAATCATCCACTTATCTAAACACTTAATTTATAGTAGTTTCTGTGACAACACCTGTTGATTACCTATTGGGGACAATCAATTAAATGAATGAGACAATTTTAAACTAATCTACATTCACTGCAACTAATTAACACGTTGGGTGCTGATGACGGGAATTCCCGCAATTGCTTAACATTGAAATAAATGCAACTTTTATGTTCAAACATGTCGACAGCACAAATAGTGTTAACAGGTTTGTTCTAGTAGTTTTCTTAGTTACTAAGTTACTAAAATCCTAGGATAATAGGATAAATAATAATACAAAGAACATTATTCACGGTCTTTTCCTTGGTTATCAAAACTCAAGTACAATCGTTGCACTTGCGATTAATTAAACCGATTAAGTAAGGCACAACGTTTTTAATCTCAACTAGTTTGGATGTGCTTACAAAACTTGATCGGAAATGGTTGCGGTACTGTATTTGTAAACAGTATTTAATGTAAACATATCAGTGACAGCTAGAAGTGGGAACTAATCCAAACAGCTGATCGTTATTTCATAAAATGTAATAGTAAACATTGAAAGAAAATTTGACAAAAATCGAACAAAATTGTGTTCTTGATAGTTCGTTATTTTGTTTTCAAAGAAGCGAAGCCATGTTTTTATAGCCAAAGAAACTCTCACTAATCCAGTAAATACAGAAAATGATTTGAACGGTACTCTAGTTTTCTAGATTTCATGTAATTCTTCAATAATTTAAATGTAGTAGCTAAAAAACGTGTATTTAATTGAAGTAAATTAATATAGGCATATTTATATTCACTGTACTGTATATAAACAAATATCGATTGAGAAACAAACAATTACACGTAATAAAAAACCTCACTAGTCCGCTGCATTGTAATAGCTGGAAATCGTCGGAATAAAAACCGCCGCTACAAGATACAGAAGTTGGTACGCCTACAGCGCCCTCCACAGCTGCGCGCGCCGCTGGCACTGCTGCTCAACACATCCCCACCTAAAAGACGAGCAAGTGGTATGTCGACAAGAAAGGAGAGTGCCTTCCTTCCTGAGCTAGGTTTTATGCTGTGCTAGCAATGTAAATGCAACTTAGGCCTTTATTGTGTATGTATAAACTTAAAAGCAATGTCGGGTAAACTTGAGACAAGAATGCTTAATCTTAATGTTGATAACCCCAATATTCAACATAATAGGCCTACTTTAACAGATAAAAGTGATAATGGATTGTCACATGAAAACTCAGAAGATGCTGAAATGTTTGATGATGGAGTTCACCAAAGCATTATTGAAGCGTTTGGTAATTTAATTTGGTAAGCTGAATTTTATTTCTCTAATTTCGTAGTACAACCTAACTAAGTTATAAGTTAGGCCTTACACAAAAAATTCAAAAAAGTGTAAATTGAAAATTCCCAAGGTATTTTTATGGTTTGAATAATTTGAAAATGAAGTGATGTAGCTTGCTTGTCTATGTTCACATTATGTAGGCGTGGTAATTATTAAACTTACTGTATGACACTGGTATCAGTTTTGCCGGAGAGATTCCTAAGTGGCCGTAAGTGTACAATTAATTATTTAATATCAAGCTTAAGTTTTGGAATTATTCACATATTTGTGGTTTGGACCAGTCCAAGTTCTTTTAGCGACTAACACTGAAAGAGGAGGAAGGTTTGTGGGAGTGGAAACATTTGTCGTTGTCATTTGACAATCATTCGGTCCAAAACAGACAAAACCTCACACGACGACATGAGAGCAAAATCAGAATTACAATAGGCCTATGCAATAATCCGATTTTCAAAAGCAAATTAACTTTGGTGCCATTTAGAAAATACATTAAATCAATTACGATACGGTACATAAACTAACATATAACATATAACATATAACTAACTAATCACATCTACAAAAATTATAAAAAATGGAATTATTCTTGTAAAATAGGTAGGCTGCTTACCAGATAGAATAGAAAGCTATAATAGAAGATAGGCCACTGCTGACATGATCGTCCTCATTCCAACCCTCACTCAATGTATGTTAATGAACGTGCCACAATGCATGATCCCATACATAATCTTATGTGCCTTAAAGTGAAAACGTGCCACAGTTCATAATTTCATGTATCAGCAACTAATAAATGATATTACATTTTTATGTAATAAGGAAACCCCGACAATCAGAGATTCCATGCTTGGTAACAATATTTTCTTTAGCCCTAAGACATACTGCAGTAAAGAAGTTATTATTATTAAGCTCAGCTAATCTAATCTAACCTAACTTAACCCAACTCAACCTTAATATTAACCAGACTTATTTAACAGATGTTTAAATAAAAATATAAATTTCGGCTTTTCCCTGGAAGTAACTTAATAAGTCCTGCAGTCTATGGTTAACATTTAAAACTAGGCCTACGTCCATATGTTTAGTTGTTAACAAAGGAATTGAGTTTGATTAAATGTCAACAGCCACCGCCGTTCCCAAACTTTAGCCCTTAACTGTACTTAAGTGATGACCTTTCTTAATATTCTGAGATGTATATTTGCATATCTACGTGAAAATACCTTCAATTTGACACCTCAAACGTTAAAATCCGTCAAGCCGTTATCGAGTTATGACTGTGAAAAGAGAACTGCTTGCGTATTAGATTTTTAAATCGCATTTCATGTCAGAAAAGGCATGTGAGGAAGATAGGTCGGACTTTATGCGGATTTGTGACTCTATTAAACTTAAGTCCTTTGAAGTGAGGTTAGATAAGGTAGGTTAAAGGTTAGGGTTATAGGCCTAATGACCTTGCTTGAACATTTTTAATATTGTTATTTCATTGTGTTTTACCCACTATTTCAATTGTGCAAAAACCTGGAAGCAGCATAAATAAATGAGTAGGTTCATTTTAACCTAACCTTTACCTTCCTAATCTAACCTCACTTCAAAACACTTAATACAGTCACGAATCCGCATAAAACCCGGCCTACAATCCTCACATGCCTTAATAAGAACTGATTATTTGGTTTCAAAACAAATTGATTTAATTTCGCATTAAGTATGAACAGCTGTTTGCTCTCCTCAATCAGTCCTTACTCCTCAGTTCACATATGGACCCGACCAGACCACGCCATATTACCTTCAGCACCGCTCAATTATCCGTAGATTCGTAATATTAACCTTTGTTTTACGGCCACTTACGAATCTCTCCGACAAAAACTGATTGAATTTTTGGATTCAGCGTGAAAAAAACTGTAAGTAGACATGTAAAAATCCCATCATATCCCCGGAGTGTACAGAATAGATACAGTGAATATTAGCCAGTGGCTTGCAGACGCGTCCACAAAATTAAGCGGAGTCATCAGGGCACAAATTAAAATAAATTTAAGTGGATAAAAATTTTTGTCTCGGATACATTTTATACAATTTAAAACTTAACTTTCTCATCATGAGATATAGGCCTAGTGTTAACTAAACTTCTTATGAGGAACTCCCCTTCATTTTTTACTTTCTCCCCCTATACCATAGTATAGGCCTATAACGAGAATTAATGTATTGTTTTCGTCAACATTTTCGAGTTTCAGTTTTGAGTGGATATATCCGTTTTGGGTCCCCCTGGACCCAAAAAAGTGGTTTTCGAAGTGATGTCTGTGTGTGTGTGTCTGTGTATGTGTACAGATAGACACCTGTGGTCCGATTTCCATGAAATTTGGTGTGTAGATTCTAATCCATGGTATCTCCAGGCGTTTTTTTTTGTTTTTTTGAAATTTTGATTTTTAATAGGGTATAGGTATCTAAAAACCCATAAAATAACGGAAAAATCTGGTTTTTTTTAAATAGCCCTAACGATTTTGATAAAAATTTAGTCTATAAGTATAAAAGAGGATGTTTGTATATATCTATTTGGCAGTGATAAACTCAGACACCGCTGAACCGATTGCCACGAAACTTGGTACATACGTGTAGAATTTCATGGAATAGGTTTATACACCATCAATTTTGTGATCCGTCCAATTTTTTTTTACATTTATGACAACAGCTAATTTGCAACCAAAAGGTGAGTGAGCATAGCGAACGAACTTCAACCTTGAGGCGAGTTAGCGTAGTGAACGAGCTAACCTGAAGGCAAGTGAGCGCAGCGAACGAGCTCCAACCTAAAGGTGAGTGAGCGTAGCGAACGAGTTCTAACCTAAAGGTGAGTAAGCGTAGCGAACAAACTTCAACCAGGACGTGATTGAGCCATGCGAACGAGATCATCTTGAAAATTAAGAAGTTAAACGGGGCAAAGCCCGCGGGTTACAGCTAGTTTGTTATATAGGCCTAGACCTTTAAATTCTGGACAGAATGGTACAAATCCTATTTCTGTAAAAATTGCGGTTCAAAGGTAATTGTGAATTTGTTATTTTTCCATTAAAAAAACCATAAAATAGCAAAAAAATTGAATTTTTGGATAAAGAAATCTAAAATAATTTAGAAATAAATTTTTTTTTTATCAAAATGAATATGTTATTGTCCTATAAAATAAAAAAAATAGTACAGCACCCTTTTGCTGTAACAATTATGGCTCAAAAGTCATATCATATCATAGATAAAACATACTCCCTTAGTAGATTAGTCATCCTAATGGAACAGCTGAAGCCAATTTTATTGTTAGTACTGTACGTCCAACTATAGAGGTTATGTTTTGTTTACAATTTGTTTCTTGTTATTGCAGTCATTTAAAACCTCGTTTAACCTAATAAAACGATATACTCATAAACAATAACTGGTCTCCTAGTTATATAACCAAATAGTAAAGCAGAAATCATGAAAATAACCCT